AAAGGCTTGGAAAAATTCACATCTCTGAACGTGGGAATAGAAATGAGGTTTTCAAATAGGGCTGCAAATTCTTTGATGCTCCTGCCATTAAAAGGTGGGGTCTGTCTCTCCTCCTCTTGAATATGGGTGGATTTATGACTGCCTCAATTTATAAAGTTTGGCAGAAGGAATGCTGTGTGACTTCTAAGGGTAAGTCATAAAAAGTCAAGGTCATGTTGGGGGAGGATCCCTCACAAATGGCTTGGTACCCTCCCCACAGTAATGAGGGAGTTCTCACTCCATTAGGTCACACAAGAACTGGCTGTTTAAAAAGAGAGTGGCACCTCCTCCTCTCTCTCACTCTCTCGTTCTTTCTCACTATGGGATACACTTGCTCCCCTTCTTCTTTCACCATGACTGGAAACTCCCTAAAGCCTCACTACAAGCAGATGCCAGCGCCATGCTTCCTGTGCAGCCTACAGAACCAAGAGCCAAATAAACCTCTTTTCTACATAAATTAGCCAGTCTCAGGTATTCCTGCAGCACAAAACGAACTGAGACAAGGGTGTTGGTCTTACAGAGGCTGTTGGACTAGAGCCTTTCTCAACGGGGAGATTTTGCCCCAGGGGATATTTGGCCATGTCTCAAGACACTTCTTTGTCACAAGTGGGGACTGCTACTGACATATAGTAGGTAGAGAACAGGGAGGCTGCCAAACATTCTAAAATGCATGGGGCATTCTCCCTACAACAAACTATCCAACCCGAAATGTCAGCAGTGCCAAGGCTGAGCAACCCTGGACTAGGGGAAGCACAGTTGTGGGGTACCCTGCAAATTTCCAGGAGCAAATAGCCAGACTCAAGGACCTATCCCAATGCCAAGGTCCAGAAGTGGCTCCTAGGGAGGCCTGTCCAGCCTTGTGGTGGGTCTTCACTCTGTCTGTGCTCCAAGCCATTACCTGGTAATTGACTGGTCCCCAAAGGAGGATGGCCCCCGGGACATGGGCAAGCTACAGAAGACAGGGGTAGGGACAGACCAAGACACATTAATACATTCTGAACCAGGAATACAGGCTTCTCTATTACAAGAGAAAACAAAGGTGTTGTAGCAAAGTTCTCTGAGCAAGGTTTGTGGAAAGAGGGGTGGTAGAAGACAGCAGTAATGATGGGACTAAGCCCCTGTATCCATCACCCTTGAAAAGCATTAAAGCAAAAGCAACTCTGACCACTTCCTAATGATTGCGATTATTTGGCTGCCTGTGAGATGGTTTAAGAAATGATTTATGAATTTAAATTTTAATTAAGGCAGAAGGCCTTGGGGGCCTCTGGAGTTCAAGCATTAAAAAGAAAAATCTGCTGGGGAAGAGGAAGGCTCACAGGGCCCCAAGGCCTGGAGGATGTGCCTGTCACACACATCCGGTGGTCTGGCAGCCTGCAAGAAAGCCTGAGTCTGAGGCCACTGATGGGTGTTGGGATCAAGGGTCAGGGCTGGACAACTCAATGCAACTGTTCACTTTAGTGCTGTAGAAAGTTCTTTACACAGAATGATAAAAATAAGGAAAGCATGTAAGTTTCTCACCACTTTCTTCAGGTCCAAGTCTTAAAAATGTGCCACTCCTCCCACTTCACTAACTCTGGACCCAGCATCAGAATTCCTGGGATCTTGTCTTACCCCACCCTCCATCACCAGCACCCTCAGGTGACCCTGAACACTCCACTGGTCATGCTGAGTCTTGGTTTCCTCATGTGGGACTGATAATGCCACCCCTGGTTACTTCCTAGGTCCATCTCCATTCTAAGGGAGATGAATGAATGCACCTTGGAAGAGGTGGACTCTCTGGTAGGTTTACCTCACTTATCTGATTCCCTCTGAGGTATAGCAAAAGCACCCATTTACTTCTCAAAGTTGCTATGGCAAAGAAAATAACGCACCCAACCTGAGATAGAAGAATAGCCCTGGACCAAAACAAAACAAAATTTAAAAAGCAGGCAACATTCATTTGTAGGCAGCTCAAACTTCACTGGATTCTGAAGACATAGGGTCAAGCGTAAATCCACCACAGTTTTTCAAAACATATTTGTAGTAAAAAGCAAATAACATTAAATTCACCATCTTCACACCATTTTTTAATGTACAGTTCAGTAGTGTTAAGTATAGTCGCATTGTCATGCAACAGATCTATAAAATTTTTCATCTGGCCAGGCGCAGTGGCTCATGCCTGTAACCCCAGCACTCTGGGAGGCGGGCGGATCACTTGAGGTCAGGAGTTTGAGACCAGTCTGGCCAACATGACAAAACCTCATCTCTACTAAAATCACAAAAATTAGCCAGGCCTGGGGGCATACATCTGTAATCCCAGCTACTCAGGAGGCTGAGGCAGGAGAATCCCTTGAACCCGGGAGGTGGAGATTGCGATGAGCCGAGATTGCGCCACTGCATTCCAACCTGGGCTACAGAACGAGACTCTGTCTCAAAAAACAAACAAACAAACAAAAAACAACACCACAAACTTTCATCTTACAAAACAGAAACTCTATAGCCATTAAATACTAATTTCCCCTCCCCTCTCCTTTCCCCCAGCCCTTGTCAACCATCTTTCTACTTCCTATGATTTTGACTATTTAGATACTTCTTATGATCAGAATCATAGAGTGTTTGTCCTTTTGTGACTGGTTTATTTCACTTAGTGGAATGTCCTTGAGTTTCACCCAAGTTGCAGCATATAGCAAGATTTCCTTCCTTTTTTAAGGCTGAATAATATTCATTGTATGTATAGACATTTTCTGCATCCATTCATCCATCAGTGGACATTTGTCTTCACATCTTGGCTATTACAAATAGTTTGGTAATGTACGTTGGAGTGCTAAGATTTCTTTGAGATCCCGCTTATTTTTTTGTATGTATATCCAAAAGTGGGATTGTGAAATAATATTGTAATTCCATTTTTTTGAGAAAATTTCATATAATTTTCCATAATGGCTATGCCATTTTATAGTCCCATTTATAGTATACGAAGATTCCGATTTATTGGCCTCCTCACCAACATTTTTTATTTTCTGTTCTTTTGAAGTGACTATCCTAATGAGCATGATGTCACATGGACAATTTTGAGAAATTCACACATCCCCCTTTGGTCAAGACAAGGGAAATCATTTGAATTAGTTTAAACGATCTTTCATAGTGTGTCCAGCTCTTAAAAAAATTCAGCAAATCAGACTCTGTGTCCCCACACCAAATGAGATCATGAATATGAACAAAGAATCTGTGTCAACAGGGAAGGGCTAGACAGCTGATGAAGAGCACATCATGTAAAGACTAAGGGAGGGGACTTGGTTGGTCAAGCTACCTAGATGTGATGCTCATACCTGACCACTGCAAGCTATGTGAGACACTATCCATTTTCTTACCTGTAAAATGGAGGTGATAATTATCACTCACTCCCCCCACCCACAGAGGGTTAATGAGAAGACCAAGAAAGATCACAGGAGATAAGAAATCTGAGCCAGGTGCAAGGGTGTTTTTTCCTTGCTAAGAGACAGAGCCAATGCTACTTGTTCCGCTAACAAGTGAGGCCATAGGAGTTTCTCAACAAGGGCCAACTCCTTATGGTCTAAGGCAGACACCAAATCACAGAAAAGGCACAGATGTTGGCATCAGATAAACATGGGTGTGTTTGAATCTCGATTCAGCCTCCTAGTAACTGTGGTATTTTAACAAGTTCTTCAGTCTCAATGAGCTTCATTCAGTTTACTCAGCTGGAACATAAAGATATTTTAAAATGACTTTTCAGGATTGTTGCATTGCATAGAATGTACCCACCTGCCATGTAACAGGTGTTCAATGAATGATAACTATTACTTCTGTGTTACCATCCTTTTCAAAGAAACACTGTTCCTTTCTGAAGGTAATAGCAAAGGCCAAGGGCCACCCAAAGTAGGGGGAAGAGGAAGAGGTGGGAGAAAGGGGGAAGACGACTGGGTTTTCTGTTCACAAATACTCCTTTTCCAGAAACAAGCCATTTATCAAAGTATTGGAGTCTCGCTTACTGTCAAAATGCAAGGGCTAATTACACTTGAAGAACAATTGACTACAAGAGCAAAAAAGACAGGGCCTGTTCAATTAATGGGAAAGAAAGGGGGTCTCTAGCATACAATATTTTGGACATCAGATTGGAATGGCTTAATTAGCCATTGCTAAGGACTCTGAATTGTCTGTTGTCCTAGAAGTCATTAGTCATCTGTAGCTTTGAAGCATCTCATTTCAATTCTCCGATTCAACACTTTGAGTACCTGTTACATGTCAAGCACTGTGCTCAACATTAGTGATACAGCAAAGTCTAGTGGAAGACAGATGGCTTGAGCCTCTGCATTAGTCAGGGTTTTTTAGAAAAGCAAATAGGATATGTAGAGATACATAAAAAGATTTATTATGGCCTTCAGCTTCATCCATGTCCCTACAAAGGACATGATCTCATTCTTTTTTTGTGGCTGCATAATATTCCATAATGTATATGTACGACATTTTCTTTATCCAGTCTATCATTGACGGGCTTTTAGGTTGATTCCATGTCTTTGCTATTGTAAATAGTGCTGCAATAAACATATGCGTGCAAGTGTTTTTATAATAGAATGATTTATATTCCTTTGGGTATGTACCCAGTAATGGGACTGCTGGGTCGAATGGTATTTCTGTCTTTAGGTCTTTGAGGAATCAACACACTGTCTTCCACAATGGCTAATTTATGCTCCCACCAACAGTGCATAAGTGTTCCTTTTTCTCCACAACCTTGCCAGCATGTATTATTTTTTTACCTTTTAATAGTAGCCATTCTGACTGGTGTTAGATGGTATCTCATTGCGGTTTTGATTTGCATTTCTGTAATGATCAGTGATAGTGCCATTATCCTTAGCAAACTAACACAGGAACAGAAAATTAAATACTGCATGTTCTCACTTATAAGTGGGAGCTAAATAATGAGAACACATAGTTACATAGAAGGGAATAACACACACTGGGGCCTTTTGGAGGGTGGAGGGTGGGAGGAAGGAGAGGATCATGAAAAGTAACTAATCAGTACTAGGCTTAATTCCTGGGTGATGAAATACTTTGTACAGCAAATCCCCATGACACACATGTACCTATGTAACAAACCTGCACTTGTACTCCTGAACTTAAAATAAAAGTTAAAAAAAAGAAAGATTTATTATGAGGCATTGGTTTACCTCATTACGGAGTCTGAGAAGTCCCACAAGCTACCATCTTCAAACTGGAGAATCAGGAAAGCTGGGGTGTAATTCCAGTGCAAGTCTGAAGTCCTGAGAACCAGGAGAACAATGATGTGCATCCCAGTTTGAGTCTGAAGCCTCAAGAACATGGAACTCTGATGTCTCAGGGCAGGAGAGGATGGATGTCTCAGCTCAAGCAGAGAAAACAAACTCACCCTTTCCCTGCCTTTGGTTTTTATTCAGACTCTCAGTGGACTGAATAATACCAACCCACATTCAGTAGAGTGGTCATCTTTACTCAGTCTACTGACTCAAACAGTAACCTCTTCCAGAAACACTCTCATAGACACACCCAGAAATAATGTTTTACCAGCTATCTGGGCACCACTCAACCCAGTCAAGTTGACATATAAAATTAGCCATCATGCCCTCTTATGGGCATCTCAGATTTATTATGTCTTCAAAGAGCTCTCATTTTATCGAACCTCATGCTCCTCTGCCAGCTTTCACTTTTCAGTAAAAGGCCTCTGCATCTGCCCAGTTGCTCATGGCAAAAAAAATCCTTGCTTTCAAAGTCATCCTTGATTTATCTCTGCTAGAACTTACCTTCAATAGACCAACAAGTCCTGTTTGTTTTATCACCAAAGTAGGTCTTGATTTCCACTCTTCTGTAAGCACATGGCCATTACCCTAGTCCAAAGTACCTGCTCTTGTGTGGGTTATTGCAAGAGCCTCCTTACAAAAAACAAAAAGTGAACTTTCTGTGTCTATCTCTGCTTCCCATTGTAATACACACAACATCTAAGGTTGTCTTTAAAATGGTAAATCATATTGTGCTATTCCTCTGCTTAAAATCCTTTAATATCTTTCCATTGCTCTTAGATAGAGCCTACAGTCACTAAAATAGCCTACAAGTTTCCACATGTTCTATCCACACCCACTCCTATAACGTCATCTCAGACCACACACCTGATTGTTGGCTAAGACTTAAGCCCATCAAGCACTTTCTTGCCTCCAAGCCTTTGCCCTTGTTTTCATTGCACTTACTCTTTCTCTCATCTATTCCCAAGCCTAGTTCTTTCTCCTCTCTCAGGCCTCAATTGAAACGTCACTTCTTCAAAGAGGAGGTCCTGACCTCACGATCCAAGTGATCTCTCCCAGTTACTCTCTAGCCCATCACCTTATTTATTTCTTCCACAGCACTCACCCCATTGATAACCGCCTGATTCATGTGATTTTGTTGGATGCCATAATCCCCCCAGTCAATTGGTATCATGACGGCAGGGGCTTTGCCACTCTTGTTCACAGTTGTATTCCCAATGCCTTGCATGGTACCTAGCACATAGTGAACTGTCAACCAGTATTAATTAACTAAGTGAAGGAAGGGGATAAATGTGCTGGACAGCATAAGAGCTAAAAAATAATGTAAAAAAAATACATGTGCACATATGTTCATTGCAGCACTATTCACAGTAGCAAAGACATGGAACCAACCCAAATGCTCATCAATGATAGACTGGATCAAGAAAATGTGGTGTGTATACACCATGGAATACTACATGGCCATAAAAAGGAATGAGATCATGTCCTTTGCAGGGACATGGATGGAACTGGAAGCCTTTATCCTCAGCAAACTAGCTTGAGAACGGAAAACCAAACACTGCATGTTCTCACTTATAAGTGGGAGCTGAACAATGAGAACACAAGGACACAGGGAGGGGAAAAACACACACTGGGGCATGTTGGGGGTGGAGCTGGAGGAGGGAGAGCATTAGGAAAAATAGCTAATGCATGCTGGCCTTAATACCTAGGTGATGGATTGATTGGTGCAACAAACCACCATGGCACATGTCTATCTATGTAACAAACCTGCACATCCTGCACACATACCCCAGAACTTAAAATAAAAATAAAAATTAATTTTGTAAAAAACATAATGTAAAAAACTCCAATTTTCTTCCTCTAAAGAGCATTGTACAATGGTGTTTTTAGGAAAAATGAAATATCTTCACCAGAAAAGCACATATCAGATAGGAGATGATACTCACATGAGAACAAGGGAGCCCTCACTGCAGAAGCCAGAGTCTGAAAGCCAAAGAGGAGTAGAGAGAGAGGCATGAGAACCTAGAGAGAATGTAGCAGAAGGAAAAACCAAACAAAATGAAAACAGTCTTCATACCAGTAGTGTGTAAACTCCAGAAAGAGAGCTTTCAATGAAGATACGCTGTGAGCTAGGCTCATGATGTTGAGTAGCAGTTTTCTAGATTAACAAGAGGAGAAAATCAAAATCAGGATGAGGGGTAAAGGACTGATGGATTGGAACATAAAATGCATTATAGCCACAAAGAATGGTTAAACATGCCACAAAAGCACACAGTCACCGAGAAACAATGTGGAATATCCAGCTAATTCCAGCATAGTCACTGCCCCATTAATAGGGGATGGAGGAAAGACAGCCAGGATGATTCCCAAATCTCAGTGAAATCAAACCAAGAGTCAACTCTCTAATACCTGGGAGTGAGTGACTCATAGTTAAATCATTGCAGAATCCTGGGAATACTCAATGGGGCTTACATTGCAGGAGGTGATGAATAATATTTTCTGGACCCTGGTGTTGGGAGAAAAGAAATCCATTATTATGCTGAGCCCTCACAGAAGATGAAGGATCACCTCCTCTATAAACAAAGAATCAATTATAGAAGCTGAGCTTTCCTCCTCCCATCCTTCTGAGACTTGTAATCAATGCTCACTTAGTTCTCACCTACTTAGCAAATCCCAGCAGAGACTGGAGCATGTCCCAAGTCCTGCTTCCATACTAACCTGGTTAATATTCAAACTGACTGCTCTTAGATGAGTAAATGTTGAACCCAGGGCCAGGTGTAAGTGGGGAGGGAGTAGCAGGAACTGAATGTTTAAGGTGACATGAGAGGAATGGCATTTTATCCTTGTATCTGTGGAAGGACTTTATGCAAGAAAGTGGCCTAGATATGACGAGAGGAAGGTGCTGTGGCCATGGTGCAGTGCATGGATTGGAGGGAAAGAGCCTGTAGGCAAAATACCTGGGAAATGAAGTGTGAAAAGAAGGGGGAAATTTGAAGCATGTTTGGAAAGTATTGATAAGGAAAGAATTTGGTTGATTATTGGATGTGACAAGCAGAGATGGAGGAGGATCTGGAATGACACCCGGATATTAACCTTATATCAGCAGGTGAATTTGGTTATTCATTAACATAGGTCACACTGACAGAATAAGTGGATTCAGGAAACATCAAATACTTTCTCAGTTTTCACATTTTTTCTTGGGCATTCATCACTGCAAGAGTTTCTCCACCTCCAAGTAGTGGATTGTATTACTTTCTCGCAATGACTTGCACCCTACCCACTCTAGCCATGCTTCCCATCCCTGCCCTATTGGCATTGTGCTTGGCAGCCAAGGGACCTGTTTCGACTGATGGAATGTGAAAAGATGTGACAATCACCATATTCAATCAGGAGCTATAAATGAATTCCTGAAATTTGGTTTTGTGCTCTTCAGCCTCTGTCGTCTATCATGAGAGTAGCATACCCACTGAGTGGCTGGTCCTTGAGAACACAAGGGGAGAGAGCCCAGCCCAGCCCAGGAGAGCCATGGGTGACCTTTGGCACAGATACAATATAAGCTAGAAACCTACAGCTCTTGGATTTGGGAATTGTTTGTTGCTGCAGCAAAAGCTGATTATGACATTTCCAAAATTTTAGTGACCCCAGAAAGTGACTTACCATCTCTGAATGTCTTACTCTATCATTGAGGAAGTTGAACTAAATGACACCAAACTCCTTCTTGGTTCAAAAGTGTTTGTTCTTTTAAAGACTGTGTTGCTGTTCTATCATATAATGTTGTTTGGGAATTCAAGCAAGTTTTTTTTTTTTCTTTCCAAAGATACAGATAAATAAGACAACTTCAACTTAGCCAAACTCTAGCCTGGCAGTTAACAGTACCAAACTAGGACAAGGCCAAAGTGCAAAGACCTGAGGTGGTTTAAGTTGCTGCAGCAGAACTTCTATTCTGAAGACCCTGAGATTTAAAAAAAAAAAAAAAAAAATCTATAAAGCACAAACCCGCCGCATTCAGCTGCTCCCGTTATTTATATGAGCATTTCCCGATTCAAATTGCATGCTCAAATCAAATTTTCCTGGTTTATGCCTTCTTCAGCAATTACTTAAAGGCAGTTTACCTCTCTCTGGAGGAATACAGCAGAAAGGCCTATAGACAAAATATCTTTGACTCAGGGAGAGATAAATGCACTCTAGGCCTGGTGCTGCAGAAGGCACTTTGCCTACGGAGGTGAACACAGATGAGCCTCCTGGCTGTTTTTCAGCCCAGCTGATAGGGACACATTCTCCAAGGAGGAGGGGAAGGCCCACAGAAATTGAAGGAGAGAGGTAAGCCTTGGGGATGGGGAGGAAGAAACTAACTTATCTTCATGGAGTTTCTTTTGTGGGGGTCCTGTAGTTTGGATGTGGTTAGTCTCCCTCAACTCACGTTGAAATGTGATGCCCAGTGGGGTAGTATCGGCAAGTGGGGCCTAGTGGGAGGTGTTTGGATCATGGGGATGGATCTCCTGCGAATAGATTAATGTCCCTCTCAAGAATGAGTAAGCTCCTACTCTCTCAGGAATGGATTAGTTCACCTGAGAGTGGATTGTTAAAAAGAGCCTGGCCTCCTTGGTTTCTCTCTCTTGCTTTCTCTATCACCATGTAATCTCTTTGCATACACCCACTCCCCCACCACTTTCTGCCATGAATTGCAGATGCCGATGCCTAATTTTGGACTTTCCAGCCACCAGGATCGTAAGCCAAATAATCATCTTTTCTGTATAAATTACCCAATCTCAGATATTCCATTATAGCAACACAAGGGGGACTAAGACAAGGGGTAGCAGGCCAACAGCTGAAAGCTGCTCCCACTCCCATGAGATTGAAAAAAGTCAAAGGTACACAGGGAACACATAATCATTTTTGTACCAAAAAGTTTCTGGGCCCTCCAAGATTTACCTTAACCAAGATGAACCTACCACAAAACAATGCAACATTCAAAACCTATGTTCAGTGTGGCATCAGCTTGCCTTTAATTCACTTTTCCCCATTTGGGAGGATTCCCTCATCTGCCATCAAAGAAGCATCATTTGTTCATTTGTCTTCCATTTGATTAATTTCCTTAGTCACTAATTCTCCTTTACGTTTCTTTCTTCATTCAGTTATTCAACTTGATGGTCCTTCTCTTGATTTGACTGCCTGACATCTGCTACTTTTTCTTTTAATAACAGCACCCTGGCTTTATTTTGGGAGACAGTTCTCCACTGTTCCCACCACATATGAAAGAGGTGAAGGTGCCCCATAATCCATTTCCTCCTCTGTAGAATCAGATGCACAACATAGACCTGACCAAACAGAATGCCATATTGTCATGGCCAGAGTGATCGGTTTGAGGATAGATAGACATATGCCCCAAGCCTACCCAAGGGAACCCTCCCTGGAACTTTTGCCAGAATTATTAGAAAAAAAAAATCCAGGGGCGGAGCAAGATGGCCGAATAGGAACAGCTCCAGTCTCCAACTCCCAGCACGAGCGACACAGAAGACCAGGGATTTCTGCATTTTCAACTGAGGTACTGAGTTCATCTCACTAGGGAGTGCCGGACAATCGGTGCTGGTCAGCTGCTGCAGCCCGACCAGCGAGAGCTGAAGCAGGGTGAGGCATCGCCTCACCTGGGAAGCGCAAGGGGGAAGGGAATCCCTTTTCCTAGCCAGGGGAACTGAGACACACAACACCTGGAAAATCGGGTAACTCCCACCCCAATACTGCGCTTTAAGGAAACGGGCACACCAGAAGATTATATCCCACACCTGGCCGGGAGGGTCCCATGCCCACGGAGCCTACCTCATTGCTAGCACAGCAGTCTGTGATCTACCGGCAAGGCAGCAGCCAGGCTGGGGGAGGGGCGCCTGCCATTGCTGAGGCTTAAGTAGGTAAACAAAGCCGCTGGGAAGCTCGAACTGCGTGGAGCTCACAGCAGCTCAAGGAAACCTGCCTGTCTCTGTAGACTCCACCTCTGGGGACAGGGCACAGTAAACAATAACAAACGCAGCAGAAACCTCTACAGATGCAAACGACTCTGTCTGACAGCTTTGAAGAGAGCAGTGGATCTCCCAACACGGAGGTTGAGATCTGAGAAGGGACAGACTGCCTGCTCAAGTGGGTCCCTGACCCCTGAGTAGCCTAACTGGGAGTCATCTCCCACTAGGGGCAGTCTGACACCCCACAACTCACAGGGTGGAGTACTCCCCTGAGAGGAAGCTTCCAAAGCAAGAATCAGACAGGTACACTCGCTGTTCAGAAATATTCTATCTTCTGCAGCCTCTGCTGCTGATACCCAGGCAAACAGGGTCTGGAGTGGACCTCAAGCAATCTCCAACAGACCTACAGCTGAGGGTCCTGACTGTTAGAAGGAAAACTACCAAACAGGAAGGACACCTACACCAAAACCCCATCAGTACGTCACCATCATCAAAGACCAGAGGCAGATAAAACCACAAAGATGGGGAAAAAGCAGGGCAGAAAAGCTGGAAATTCAAAAAATAAGAGCACATCTCCTCTGGCAAAGGAGCGCAGCTCATCGCCAGCAACGGATCAAAGCTGGACGGAGAATGACTTTGACGAGATGAGAGAAGAAGGCTTCAGTCCATCAAACTTCTCAGAGCTAAAGGAGGAATTACGTACCCAGCGCAAAGAAACTAAAAATCTTGAAAAAAAAAAGTGGAAGAATTGATGGCTAAAGAATTGAATGCAGAGAAGGTCATAAACAAAATGAAAGAGATGAAAACCATGACACGAGAAATACGTGACAAACGCACAAGCTTCAGTAACCGACTCGATCAACTGGAAGAAAGAGTATCAGCGATTGAGGATCAAATGAATGAAATGAAGCGAGAAGAGAAACCAAAAGAAAAAAGAAGAAAAAGAAATGAACAAAGCCTGCAAGAAGTATGGGATTATGTAAAAAGACCAAATCTACGTCTGATTGGGGTGCCTGAAAGTGAGGGGGAAAATGGAACCAAGTTGGAAAACACTCTTCAGGATATCATCCAGGAGAACTTCCCCAACCTAGTAGGGCAGGCCAACATTCAAATCCAGGAAATACAGAGAACGCCACAAAGATACTCCTCGAGAAGAGCAACTCCAAGACACATAATTGCCAGATTCACCAAAGTTGAAATGAAGGAAAAAATCTTAAGGGCAGCCAGAGAGAAAGGTCAGGTTACCCACAAAGGGAAGCCCATCAGACTAACAGCAGATCTCTCGGCAGAAACTCTTCAAGCCAGAAGAGAGTGGGGACCAATATTCAACATTCTTAAAGAAAAGAATTTTAAACCCAGAATTTCATATCCAGCCAAACTAAGTTTCATA